CCCCAAAACCCCAAAACCCCAAAACCCCAAAACCCCAAAACCCCATAATACTTAAATAAATTGAAATGGTTCATTTTTATTCATTCTACTAATCAGTCTCGTTGATATAGATGAAGGGTCCGAACACGATGCCTCCAGGATCGCCGAAAATATTTTGCCAGTGAAGCTCAACAGTGCCAATGCCTGCATTATCCTCAGATTTAATCTTTTGTCCATCTTTGGGCTCAAATATGTATAGATAAGACCTAATTTCCTTCTTATTTCATTGTAGAACCCACTATTTCATCTTCCTCATCCTTTTGGTTCAGATCAATTCAGGTGAGGTTGGGGTTGGTCACACTCAGATGAACTGACTGCAGAAAGAGATTAGTCGATTCATTCTCAAGGGTCATCTCCATAAAGTACTTATTCTTCCGAATCACAGTATTCTGAGTCACATTAAAAGGAGATTTGGTCTGGAACTTAAATTTCTTGTTAAAATTCCTATATACATCTCTCTCGACAAAATTTATTTGGAAGCTTTCTTTGTTCTGGTACTTAGCTCTCTGTGATGGTGTCATTGCATCGATGTTTAGATTGTTGAGTTGATTTTTAAACTGCTGGCATTGATACCTAGATTTAATCTCAATGACGTAAGTGTCAGTGTAATCAGCCTGAATCTCAACAATCTGGTAAAAAGATCCTCCCTTTTCTATAGAAGGAATTGTCTTCGAAGTCAGAGTTTTTGTAATATTCTTGTTTTGATAAGTTGCTAGTACATCGATCCTTATATTATTCAGAGGATAATCTTTATCTTTATTAGAAAGAATGATCAGACCTCTGAAGATCTCTCCAGTATAAACCTTGCCAAATTCTGAGACATAGAAGTTCTTATCTCCTATCTTTACAGCATCTGGATGAATAGTGGTAGAATTTGATGTCAAAATAATATCACTTGTAGGAATTCCAACCTTGTTTTCACTGCTAAAAGTTGGTTTATCTAACACAGTTGTTGACTTGCCAAGTCTCTTGATCTTAGCTTGAAGGAGTTGACCAAATTTATCCATATTCGATTATCTAAAAATATTAATCAATCTTGGTAAAAATGCTGGGGTTTTGGGGTTTTGGGGTTTTGGGGTTTTGGGG